ACCCGATCGACCTTTCAAATTTCGAAAAAAAACGCTTTAAACAGGTCATTAAAAGACCAGACTTCCGTCGAAAAAATTTGCCGACTAGCCCCCCAGCGCGCCGGAATTACTCCCTAGTTTCACCACTAACGCTCCTAGGGAAGCTCTCTACGAGTCGTTTAAACCAAGCAAAGTTATGCAAAACGTCCGTCGAGATGTTTTGCCAACTAGCCCCCCAGCGCGCCAGAATTACTCCTCTAGCTTCGCCGCTTCGCTCTTAGGGAAGCTCTACGAGTCATTCCTTTCATCCCTACTCTGCCTGCCCCTCCCCCTTTCCACGTCTCCTCCACCGCCCCCCTCGTTCGCGCCGATGTTACTGAGGCGCGTGAATTCCTGAAGAAGAGTCTACGATAGCGGATGGCGAGTTACCTGCTGCTCAGGCGCTCACTAGTGCCATCTGCATTTTACTGCGGCAACTTCACGCTTCCAGCTGAACTTGGAGCCGACGGTAAACCGTCAACCTTGGTTTTTGGTTTGCTCGGAGCCCACAGGGAACAGAGGAGTCCCCGCTCAGGATTCAGGCCCGCAGCAGAGGAGCAGGTGCTCGACACCTTCAGCGAGGCGCCTGCTGGCCAAAAGCTCAGCTTGACAGACAGTGCAGGAGGGCGGGACGGCGGCAGCCTCGGAAGCTATGTCGCATAGCCAAACGCCATGAAAGTGATCGAGAGCAGGGCGAGGGAGCACAAATATGTCAATGACCCAGCCTATGCCAACACCATGGGAGGAGCGGCCGCCATCAAAGTAGCCACGAATCCCACTTATCTGCTCCCGCTTGATAGTATGAATACGCGGGTCGAAAGTGCAGTGGGACTGGCCCGCGCGGGCCTTCCAAGTTTCAGCATCAGCACGCTCATTTCCTTCACGGTAGAATCACTTCCATGGTTCTAAGCCCCAAGACGGCGGTCTAAGCTCAACATCGCAGGTGCAATGCAATCGATATAGCATGTCTTGTACATGCGCAGTCGCGTCACAATACACTGCAGTAGTACACGCATATCTTCCCACAAGCCAATTAACCACCACCTGGGAGTCCCCATGGAGCTCAATAGGGATCCCCGTACAATGCGGGCGCGGCAACGCGGGCGCGGCAATCTCGCATTCCGCGCGCGCGAGGGCGAGCAAGATCAGAAGAAGGAGGAAGAGAAGGAGGAGGAAGGGGAGGAAGGATCAGATGGAGGAGGGAGAGAAGGAGGAGAAAGAGGAGAAGGAAGAGGACGATGAGACGAACTACGCATAGTTTTTGTTCCAGCTCTGGTAGCAGACCGATTTCGACTTCTAGATACCTGCAACAAACGCTCCTCATGATCGTCGTACAATTGCTGCGCCGACCGGCTCTAATCTCATCTGCAGCTCGAGCTACATCAAGAAAGGCATCGTTATCTCTGAAAGAATTAGTAGCGTACAAATAGTTTGTGGGGGTTCTAACTCTGGAAGCAGACCCATTACGGGCATCTAGATACTTGAGACTAGCGCGTCTCCTGATTTCCTTCCGATTGCTGTGCAAAAGAACTCTGTAGCTCATCTGCAGCTCGAGTTATCCCAAGAAAAAAGACCATCATTTCTGTAATAAATTAACAGAGTACGAATAGTTGTACGGACCCAGCTCTGGTGGCAGACCGAGTTCAGGCATCCAGACACTTGAGACTAGCGTTTCTGATGATTTTCTTACGATTGATGTGCCAAACAGCCTTGTAGCTTGTCTGCAGCCCGAGTTACATTGAGAAACTCATCATAATCTCTGGGAAAATTAGCAGAGTACGAATTGCTGTTCGGGCATCTAGACACTTGAGACTAGCTCGTCTGAATATGTTCTTTCCAGTGCTGTGCCGAGCAGCTCTGTCGCTCATATGCAGTTCGAGATAAGTCAAGAAAACCATCATCATGAAAACATAGCAGGATACAGATAGTTGTTCGGACCCAGGTCTAGTAGCAAACCGAGTTCGAGCATCTAGATACTTAAACTAGCGCGCCTGATCATTATTTTTCGATTATTGCGCCAAACAGCTCTGTGGCTCATCTCCAGCTCGAATTACATCAGAGATGTATCATCATCTCTAAACATATTAGCAGAGCACGAATAGTTTAGAAAACCCAGCTCTGGTAGCAGAGCGAGTTCAGACACCTAAATACTTCAGAATAACGCGCCTGATGATTCTAGATGAAGGAGGTGTGCCTGCCAGCTCTGTAGCTCTCCTAGAGCTCTCGCTGAGCTGAGAAAACCGACAGCATCTGCCCAGATGACACTAAGCAGCCAATCCCGCCCACATGCTTTTTTGCAGTAACAGGTACCCAATCGACCTGAGATTAAGATGGGAAGCGGGAGTAAGAACGGATGGGGGACAAAATAGAGCTCTAACGACTGTTCAAATTTCGAGAAAATCAATATATGTCAAAAAAGACATCCGTCGAGATTTTTTGCCAACTAGCCCGCCGGCGCGCCGGAATTACTCTCTAGCTTCGCCGCTTCGCTCTTAGGGGCTACTGAGTTCCAGTTGGGGCACTGGAAGCCAGCGGTAAACCGTCAACCTCCGTTATCACCAGGAACTTGTAGAGCTTCCTTGCCTATATGTAAGTGGCATGCGGGCGCGGCAATCTTGAATTTCGCACGCGCGTGGATGTACGACAGCTCCTTGCTTGTTCCAAGACTCAGGTTCCACTGAGACAAAGCCCATTCAAGAAAATTAAAAACTGAACAGATGTTTCCAAACTGATTGTAAAGGTTCAGATGGTTTTGTGACGCGTAGAGCACGCGAGCTTTGTATTTGTCTGCAAATTCTTCATTGGCTGCAGCTCTGGTATCAGACCGATTCCAGACGTCTCGATACTGCGAACAAGCGTTCATAGTCACTTTTATTCGGACACTCACTTCCCAGCTTTTCGCAGATTGTCTACAGGTCGAATGAGTAGGGGGAAACCAGCACCGCTTATCAGGAAAACCGCAAACGTTTTTTGTCGCAGCAGGTAGCGAACCGATCTCAGCTGTCTAAACGTTTTAGATTAGATTTCTTAACACGTCATGTCGATTTCTGTATGTATCGGCCCCAGACGACAGCTCGAATCAAGTACAGGAAACAAATATAATATCTCTCACAAAAAGAAACAGAGTGCGAATCGTGTTTCAGCTAGTAGCAGGCCAATGTCAGACCTTTCAATACTGTAGGCTATGTGTCTCGTTATTCCTGTTGAATGTTGCTTCCTAGTTCCTAAGCTTGCCAACACCTCTGATAAAATAGAGAAAAGCAACACCGTCTCTCGAAAAACGAGAGACTGCAAACAACTTGTTGACGTCCCAAACCCAGATAGCCGAGCAGTAGAACACACGGTAGCTCTAACACCGTCGGGTGTGGCTGCAAACACCAGCAGATGAAACCAAAAGGCCGCTGCTCGAGCACTAATTGGCGCCCAAAACCCGGATAGCAGAGGCAGCTGGGCAGTTGTCGGCGGCGGGCGGCGGCGGACGCTGGCAGCAGCAAAAGGCGGCCATGGGAACGCTGAAACGTAGCCCAACCAAGGGGCCATCCGGGAAGCGAGCAGTGGAGCGCTGGGCGACCTGCGAAACGACGCTTCGGGGAGCTTGGACACGAGACTTCGGGGAGCTTGGAAACGACGCTTCACGAAGCTCACCCTGGAGCCACGCGTACTGGGAAACGCTGGGAAGCCACGCTCCCGGACACGCTGGAGGCCGAAGCAACCTCCGGAGGGGAACTGGGAGCCGGCGGTAAACCGTCAAACTTGGTTACCGCCGGGAACTCGTAGAGCTTCCTCGCGCAATGCGGGCGCGCCAATCTCGCATTCCGCGCGCGCGAGGGCGCGCTTTCATGGAGGAGGAGTGGAGAAGAAGAAGGAGTGAGGAGAAAGGAGATTAAGGTGGGTGAGAAAGAGAAGGAGGAGAAGGAGGAAGAGAAGGCAGAGAGCGAAGTGGAGGAGCAGGAGGAAGGAGGGTAAGGATCAAGAAAGGCATCGTCATATCTAAGAAAGATAGTAGAGTACGATGTTGCAGAGTACGAATAGTTTTTCGGACCCAGCTCTGGTAGCAGAACGAGTTCGGGCGCCCAGATACTTTAGACTAGCGCTCCAAAAAAAATCACTTCCAGCTGATGTGACAAACAACTCTGTAGCTTATCTCCAGCGCCAGTTCAGTCAAGGAAATCATCATCATCTCTGAAAAATTGGCAGAGTACCCATAGTTTGTGGAACTCAGCTCTGGTAGCAGACCGAGTCCAGGCATCTAGATCCTTTGGATTACCGCGCTTCATTGTAGGCTTCCGATTTAATGTGCCAAAGAGCTGTAGTTCATCCGCAGCTCGAGTTAAGTGAAGAAACTCATGATCACCCCCCCAAAAAAACAGAATACGAAAAACTTTCGCAGACTCAGTTCTGGTAGCAGACCGAGTTCAGACATCTAGATACTTGAGACTAACGCGCCCGATGATGGTCTGCAGCTCGAGTCAAGTGAAGACACTGGGAGCCGGCGGTAAGCCGCCACCCTTGGTTTTTGAGTTTGAGTCAGGGCGCGGACAGCTGTGACAGCTGAGCCCTAAGACTCCCAAACGGAGCACAGGGTAGCTAGAGAAGGCACCTCTTATCATCACACTGCCGAGCCACTGAGGCATAGGCATCGGAATAGGATGCAGGAACAAGGAAAAGGATGCAACACAACATGTGAGAATGCAAAAGTGTTGGAACAGGTTAGAGAATGGTGTAAGAGCTGGTTGAAACGCTACCCAAAACGTGTTCCACGGCCATAAAATGCCGTTTTACTGCATTGATCAAAGCAACAGCCGATCAGCAGCATATGCTTCCACAGACCGCCCTCCAACGAAGAAACCGTGGAGGCCGACTAGTTCATGTTTACGTTGTATATCACAGGCGAAGCAGAGTGAAACTTAAAGTTGAAGTCTTGAACAGCGCCATGCGCCAGTTAAGGCCACAGTTAAGGCCAAAAGGTTACACAAAGGTTCCTAATGTGGCTCTGCAAGCGTTGTTCCATCAACCGTTGAGCACCACTCGAGTAGAATGTCAAGCACCGCCAATGTCCGAAGCACCACCCTGCAATACGGTGCATCCTTATCTTGTCCAACCGACACAGCCCACAGGTTCTCTGGATGTCCGCGCCCCCCCCCCCCCCCATCACGGCGGCGCAAAGCCTCACAGAAACGGTGCAGAGCAGCCTGCTTCAAATAAAAATCTGCCCTCACTCGCTGGGTGGCCATGTTATCCCATGCGTGGAAGGCCGCATCCGAATCAGCGTCCTCATCGCACTCTGATTGATAGTTATGCAACTCATCCACCTCCGTCTCCTTGTCGCCTTCGGGCAACAAGGACACAATTGGGGCGGGTAGAGCGGAAGAAACTGAATCATGAAAAGAGGACGGAGGTTGGGGAGGATCGCAAGTAGATTGATGGGCCGACTTTGACATAGAAGAGCCAGTTAGAACTGCCTGAGCCTTCGCCCTTGCCCGCCTCCTGTTTCTGCGGTGCCTCTGGCCTTTCCCACGGCCAGCATCCTCCTCAGGACTCGGCGCCTCCTCGGGACTCTCAATTCCCATTCGAAGTTTGTATGCGTTGAGCGCCTCGATCCGAGCCCAAAACTCCTCTTTCGGGAGCCGTTCGAATTCCCGCCAAAGAGCAACTGCATCGTCATTGGCACGCGCCGAGTCCCTGGCAGCTTGACACTCAGATCGATTGCTCTGCAACTCATCTGAACAGAGCCGGGAAGAAGATGCACAGTTATCTTTACGACCCGGCGGTAACCAAGACGGCGTCTGGTTACGGAGGCTCGTGGGGCTTCTTCGCGCCTCCTCATCATGCAAATCCTCTTCCCGAACACCTGGGTCAACAGAAGCCGACAGAGTGTCAGGAAATGGAGCGTGGCAAACTTCAGAGCTTGAACCCAAGAAAACAGCATGCTGAGAATAATGCAACTTATCATTCAGCACCCCCTCACTCTGCAAATCCTCATCCTGGAACCCCTCGTCCTGCAACTCCTCATTCTGAACGCCAGGATCAAAAGAAACAGAGCCCAGTCTCGACTGCAGCCCACCATCTGGAGACTGCACCACATCTGGAGAATACGCAACCGAATGAGACGAGAAAGCTTCTCCACGATCAGTTGGCCCAGCAGTTGGCACCGATAAGGAACTCAACAATACACTGACCTGCCCCTCCGAGTTCCCCTGAAACGGGCATGGGTTTCGCGCACAATCATCGAGGTTATCAAACCAGCCAAACGCGGGGAAAGTATTCGGATCAGCCACAAAATATGGATCACGAGCATTAAACTGCATAACATCAAATACAGCTTGTCTACAAATCGCCAGTTTGATTCTCCTTGCTTTTCTTTTCCAACTGGTCGAAACAGAACTCATCGAACAAAATTGCGCTGTCATGATGCCGCACAAGGAAGGGGCACGCAAGAACAACTAATCAGTTCAATGCCGACAGATCACCCGTTCGGTACTCAGAGATGCACGTTACGTGTGCATGCACAACCTGTCCGCACGACGCGGCTCGAGGAGTCCCCGACGGGCCAAGGCCGCGGGAGAGCGGGAGGTAAGCTCCGCTTCCGCAACCTTGGTTTTTTTGCGGTTTGCGGTCCGCCACTAGAATCCGAATCCGAATCGGCGGAGCAGTGCAACTGAGCCCCCACCATCTTAGGTAGGTCGCAGCAGAGCGCACGCCACCTTAGCAGCAGCTCTCGTCAGGGCAGCGCAGGCAGCTAGTTCACAGCAGGTTACCGTGCTACCTGGAGGCAAGCTCATCGCCTCCTCGGCCACATCGTGCCAATGGAAGCTGTGCGAGCTGGTGCAGGAGGAAGAGGAGGAGGAGGAGGAGGAGGAGGAGATGGGAAAATCAACCTGCACGCTGGAACCCCTACCTACAACGCCAATCTGAAGCCACCACCCACCTCCACATCCTTCATTACTGACACCCCCATCGAATGCACCACGGAGAGCAGTCTTACGAGTACTGAGGAAATGATCATATGCAAACCAGCGAGTAATAGTTTGGCCACCTCTGGCCTCCCACGACAATCTATCCGCACGTTCATTACCCTCACGAAAGAAATGCTTATACATATTCTGTCCCGATGCAGGTGAGGTCAGTCCCCATCCAGACAGCATCGATACCGTATTTTGTAGTGTTCCCACCAGTCGTACATACTGCTTGTTGCGAATCTGCCACTCCCCACACATCCAGTTAACAACCGTCTTACTATCTCCCAAGATCTCCACCCCAAGACGCTCAATATTCTCACACCTCCACTCCGTTTCATTCTCATAATTAGCGGCAATACGTTTGCTCATCCTCTCATTCATCTCTCTCTGCTCCTCCTCCTCCGCCTTCACGTGCCTCACACCAGGTGGCCTGGGTAAAACAAACAAGTCGAACAAGTGTTGCATGCCAATCACAGTCAGCAAATGTTTGCAATATTTCTCTCGGGACCCAGCGGAGCTGTCGAACGAGAGGTACCACTCACAACCGAAGAGATCGCACAAACACCAGTCCCACACAGTATGTCCACGGGCAGGTGCGCCCATGCTCATGCGTGTGAGATGCTTCCTATCTTTTGCAGGCAACGCTAGAATACATGTGTCACGATGTTCCGTCCACTTCCCCCTTCCACGTAGCATGGCCAGCCTAGATATCATCCATCCACGTGACATGTCCGACTCCTCAGGTATGGCAGGCTGGTCATCCGTTGTCCGCCGACGACAGCCACTCGACATCTGGGATATCTGAGATACATGATATGCATGAGAGGCCGCCGCCACCGCCATCGCCCGAGTTTTCCTCTGACGCCGATTTGGTACCGTCTCTCCCTCCCCCTCCACTGTGTGTGTTGTGTATCTCCTCATAGGAAGACTTGCAGCAACTGGGACATCCTCGGCCCAATCCCAACAACGAAATATCCATATCTGCACCGCACTTCGGAATCCAAGCTCAACATAACTCTGTCGTCCAGCTTTGTATCGCCCACGTTGAAACTCAGACCAGCCTTCAGTTCTCCGCTTGCGTAGACCTGACACTATCGCCAGACATCTACCTTCAAAAGAGTGAACAGCAGCAATGGTGGAATAGTCGGGCGTTCTGCCCTCACAGTTGAATACTAATGCAGCAATCACTTTAGCTTGATAGCGAGTAAATCTCTCAGCCAAGTCAATCCCAGAGCAGCGATAATACGCGATTTCCCCAAAGAACATCTTCTGGGCTTTCTGGAGCATGGCCTCTGAGTCCGAGTGGTCCTTCCAGGTCTCCTCCAGAGTGGCTCCCAGGATCTCAAACGACTGAACACGCGGCAGGACCACTTCTCGGGCCCCAAGAGCAGCGTCACTAGACGGCACCAGCACACGGATATCCTGCTCGGGGGACGGCGGGATGCCAGGCGGCGCACCACAGTAAATATACATCAAAGATTTCGGCTTCCAGGTCATTCCTGCATTCATCAGCGGGATACGCATGTCACGCACCATCAACTCGAGGTCAGTGCGGGTCTTCGCATACAACAGAAGATTATCTGCCCAGAAACTGTGGGTTATACGCTCACCGTTGAACATGCGCTCATCATTTTCCAATTTGATACCGTACTGCGTATCCTGCCTCCACCTGTCGATCACATCTCTCCAGAGTACAATAGAAACTGCTAGAAAAATCATCGGTCCCTCCACTCCTCCCGTTCGAATAGATTTGTCCCAATAGACCGCTGACGATGCCTCGATGCCCTCGAAGCTGGCCACGCACTGATTATCCATCATGGGTTCAATCAACGCCACAATGAGATCAGCTGGTATGTCAAGAGCACGAAGACAGCGCATGGCGAGACACGGAGTGACATTATCGAAAGCGTGTAAAATATCAAGGTTGGCAAGCCACAGACTGTCTCCTTTGCCCCAGACAGCGGAGTGCTGGCTGAGCCTTTTGGCAACGCTGGTGATTTCCGATGTTTTACGTCCCGATCTGAATCCGTACAGGCATACATAGTGTCGGTGCTCCTCAATCCTCTTCTCAATCATCATCACAATACATGTCATGTACCATTTCATAAGACACGACTGTAGACATAGTACACGTGTATCTGTCAAATGTTGTATGTCCATTTCTTTAGGCATGAGCGTGGCAGCTAGTTGACGCCAACTGTCGGGGCAACATAACCTGCGGGAATACACACCTTGGAAGCTCACCAGAACACGTCGAACAGATGCCCACGAGAGCTGTTTCAACATCGTGACAGTCACGTTGTCGGGACCTGGGGCCTTTCCCGTGGACAGCTTCGCCCTCGCCCGCAGCAGGAGCGACATCGAGAACACCTCTGAGGATCCGCTTCCCGAACATAGACCACGCAGCGACTGTAGCTCACGAAGGGTCACCTCCCTGGTCTCGGGGTCCTCCACCTTAGACTTCATGTGCCCCAATGTCTCGTCCCCCCACTCCTCGCGGTTCTGGGACTCCATCCCGTTGGCAAGGATCAACGTCTCCGTCTTGGCCCTCCTCCTCCTCCTCGTGTTCATTTCCGTCCTCCACCTCTGTACTCTTGCCTCCAGCCTCTTTCTCTCCTCACTATCTTTGAGCACCGTTTGGCCTCCTCTCTATCCCCACGACGAAGTGCTTCGCGTTTACTTTCCTGGGCGGCCCAGTGGATCTCGGATTTCTTTGGCACATTATTCCTGGGATTGATATCTTCCTGGGGGGTCTCCTCGGCGGCCTTTATGAGGTCAGGTCCCAGCGTATCCAACATCTCCTGGCGATCCTCTGGGTCAGCATTTTCCTGGCACAAAGCACGGTAACGACTGCCCCGATCGTCCATGTTCTTCGCAAACTCAAGCTGCGACACCGGTTGCAGGTAGATGAATTTGCGAGCAGGCTGGGCCCGTCTCTTCGCAGAAGGTGCACAAGACAAGCGAACAACTATGCAAGCGTGGTCAGACAGCGCACGCTCGTATCTGCTGCATGGGTGCTCCGCCCAGGCGTGGCCGACTTCCGCAGGCAGCATCCAGCCTACAGTGATCTCCTGCCTGTGTAAACGACGGCTGCCACCAACATAGTCGAGTACCTTCTCCACCCCCGTACTTGATTTGAAAGTAACCCTCCTCTGCCCAAATGTGTTCTCCATTCTGATGCCCCAGAGCCCGCAGAAGTCCAGTAGGGCCCTCCTCATAGATTGCAGCCTAGACGCCCGTCGAGTTTCGAAGCCCGAGACAACCCTATGAGGTCTTGTTTTACGTGCACCACGTTTTGTTTGAGTCATATACGGGTTGCCGTCATCCGATCCTTCCTCCATCCCAGTATCAATCTCCGTAGAATCCCCAGCAATCCCAGACGCCTCCAGAAGCCCTGATCCAGTAACTCTGAAGCCGTTGACCTCCGAATCTGGCTCGAGTTCGACGTTAGCATCTGTCAAGAAGACCAGGTCCTGCGGCTGCTTCGGGAACTTAGACCTATGTGTGCGAAGCACTTGGGATATATCAAACAATATCTGCTCATACACATCATGTTCATGCTGTTCTTCCGTAAGGGTACGAATACTCTCATGTGGCATATATGCAACAATAACCGTAACACTAGAATAACTACAAATGACAAAACCTTTGCCACGATATGTGGCTCTGAGCGAGTCTCTCCAAGACTTAGACATGATCACCGCAGCCTTCCGACAAGTACTCCGAAAAATTGTGTAACCTCGCATGCTGAGATCACGAACTGAAAGGAACTGACACTCGCACAACCCCGCGAGTCCCACATCTAAACGACGTAGTGAATTAATTATGTCATGGCCGTTCTCTGCACCTGCCCGACGCACATTCCATGACGCAATGGTGTCGTGGCACCTCTAGTTCGTACTGGAAATCCTCGCTCGCAACTCATCAATGTTGATCCCTGGCTCAAGCTGATTCATTGCACGAGTAATCTCCCAGCCATTCTGCAGAGAGAACTTGGCCACAATCTTCCCTGGAGGTGGTAAGTGGTCACTGGAGCCCCACATGAACGTAATCGGTGGTCCCGTCTCAGCCCTGAGATTTGAATGATGCTTCTTGAAACTCTTGAACTTTGCCTGAAAGATCCCAGCGGCATCCAGATGGGGCTTCTTCCAGGGGGGGGCCTCCACGTGGACCTTGAGGACCCTGGGAGCGTGCTGGAGTTTGTTGTCGGCGATCGCGGCGACGAGTCGACGACGGATATCCCACAGCCGGTCACTGGTAACCCCATTCTGGAAATAGAGCCGAGCACGCGAATAACCCCATGCCTCTCAACCTGTGTTGAACCTCTTGGATTGGTTCAGGTCCAGAAACTCCTTCACACCACTGAACCATTCTCCAGCCAGGACCTCATTCAGTAGTGAATTCAACGCCTGCTGTGATAACATCTCCTCCTGACGCTTCTCTGCATCCCG